TCTAGCCCTATATGCCCTATACGCCTAAAGGCGTGTAAAAAAGTTCCTTTACTTTTTTTTCACCATGCAGTGTAGTTCTAATACAAAATATCTGCTGATCTTTCACATACTTTATTTTAAATGCCAGGCAGACAAGTAATCTGCACTACCAAGAATCCTCCAAACAGAAGCTGATTGTGTTTTTCAATCTCCAAGGTTCACACACAACCAACATGGCGCCGAAAAGAGTAGCCATCATTGGAGCAGGAGCCAGCGGGCTGCCGGCCATTAAAACCTGCCTGGACGAAGGTCTGACCCCTGTCTGCTTTGAGAGGACGGATGGTTTAGGTGGCCTGTGGCGTTACACAGATGAACCTATTGAAGGTCAGGGATGTGTGATGAAGTCCACGGTGATCAACACCAGCAAGGAAATGATGTCTTACAGCGACTTCCCTATACCCGACAAGTACCCCATCTACATGCATAACACCCAGGTAGGGCTTACTTACAGTCTGTGTCTACATGCATAACACCCAGGTAGAGCTTACTTACAGTCTATGTCTGCATGCATAACACCCAGGTAGGGCTTACTTACAGTCTGTGTCTGCATGCATAACACCAAGGTAGGGCTTACTTACAGTTTGTGTCTACATGCATAACACCCAGGTAGGGCTTACTTACAGCCTGTGTCTACATGCATAACACCCAGGTAGGGCTTACTTACAGTCTGTGTCAACATGCATAATACCCAGGTAGGGATTACTTACAGTTTGTGTCTACGTGCATAACACCCAGGTAGGGCTTACTTACAGTTTGTGTCTACATGCATAACACCCAGGTAGGGCTTACTTACAGTCTGTGTCAACATGCATAACACCCAGGTAGGGCTTACTTACAGCCTGTGTCTACATGTATCACACCCAGATAGGCCTTACTTACAGTCTGTCTCTTTGTTTTTGTGGATCGGAAGGTCATGGGTTCGGTGCTAAGGGAGCCGGACTTCTTTATTCAAAAAACGACCTTGACTACCAGGTAGACCTAGCCTTTAGTTAGCACAAGAAATAGTCCTAGGAAGTAAAAGTTGTATGTTGACCACACCACCGCCGAGTGTCGTCTAGTCTATAAAATATAGGTCTATATGCTCATTAGCATGTCTGTTTTTCTGTCTATTTAGCTGTGTGTTTATATACTTTATAGTCTGTGTGTTTATATACTTTATAGTCTGTGTGTTTATATACTTTATAGTCTGTGTGTTTATATACTTTATAGTCTGTGTGTTTATTTAGCTGTGTGTTTATTTAGCTGTGTGTTTATTTAGCTGTGTGTTTATTTAGCTGTGTGTTTATATACTTTATAGTCTGTGTAACATGAATGATGCAGGTGTTGAGGTGGGTTCGTGGGAACAAAGTGACAAGGGTCAGGCTGAACTGACTGGTGAAATCAAGAAGGGGAACAAACAAACGAATAAACTTTATTTTCAAAGGGTTACAAACTGGGCACACAGGCCCGTCTGACATCGGCCCTTCTTAGCACTTTTTTTTCAGAGTACCAATGCCTGTTATCCATGATAATAATCGGATGATAATGAAGAACAAAACAATGATTGCAGATCGGTTAAAAGCGGAGCATCTGAGAGCAAGGATTTTAAATGATACTTCTCTTGCAATAATGGTGCTGAAATAACATGCTGAAGTGGTGGAAGACTTTCTTTAACTCCAGCGTGTCCTGCTGGTCAGGGGCTGTAACTCCAATGCCTTCTTGAAGATTATCGTCTGGGAAGACGGAAAGGTGCCAACAACTAATTTAGTCTATTGGTCTGTCTTTTTTTTTTTTTTTTTGCTCTGTATATCAGTCAGTTGTATTTTATTCAAACATCTATTTACAGTTCGTTATTCTTTATCTGTAAGCTGTTAGTTGAATTCCTATACCTTTAAGTTAGCAGTTAATTTCTGCACATGTAAGTTGTTAAATAATTGTCGATATCCGTAGGTTTTTGGTTATCATGTTAAAATTCCTTACGTCCTTATTAGGAGGTAATTTTTTGTTATTTGAAGCCAAACTCTGGCTTTTGCCAGGGGCCGCAATACAGGCAGGCCAAAAATATGGCCAATTGTCTGAACGCGGTTTCTGGGACCTCTCCACGGTGATCCTCGTCCACATGGTGGCACTTTGTGTCATCGGGTGTTTATCGCTTGTGTGATGTCCTGGTGGTGTAGAATGTCAGTCGGTTTTTGGTTAAATGTCTGATCTATAGGCCGTTTGTTAATTTACCGTATCTGTAAGCTGTAGCTGAATGATCACTTCTCTGTTCTTTCTCCTCTCTGCCAATTTCCTCTCCACTTTCTTCTTCCAGTTGTAACTGTTGCTGCGCCTATCGACATCAGAGCATTGTAACCGCAACTATGGTGATGATTCTGTAAGAAATCTGATTCAGTTTCTCTCCCCCTCTAGGTCTACGAATACTTTAAGCTGTATGCTTCACATTTCAGCATTCTTTTATTTCATCTTGTCCCTCTAGGTCTACGAATACTTCAAGTTGTACGCTTCACATTTCAGCAGTCTAGTATTTAATCTTGTCTCTCTAGGTTTACGAATACTTCAAGTTGTACGCTTCACATTTAAGCAGTCTAGTATTCTATCTTGTCCCTCTAGGTCTACGAATACTTCAAGTTGTACGCTTCACATTTCAGTAGTCTAGTATTTAATCTTGTCCTCTAGGTCTACGAATACTTCAAGTTGTACGCTTCACATTTCAGCAGTCTAGTATTTTATCTTGTCCCTCTAGGTCTACGAATACTTCAAGATGTATGCTTCACATTTCGGCCTGGAGAAGTACATCAATTACAACACGGAGGTTCTGCACGTCAAACGAAGCCAGAACTTTGAGCTCAGTGGACAATGGGAGGTAATTCATCGCAACAAGCAGACGGAGCAAGAGACCAGGGAAGTCTTTGATGCCGTTCTGGTGTGTACAGGTCATCACGCAGACAAACATGTGCCCACGTTTCCGGGCATCAGTGAATTCCAAGGAAAGGTAAATGTCTGCCTGTTTGCCTGTCTGACATTCTAGCTGTTTATCTATCAATCTCTCCCTCGCCCCCACCCCCCCCAATGCCTTTGTGTTTATTACATGATAGTCATTTTATGTATACTGTATACAACCATAACATGTTAAGATAATGTTAAATTACTGTGAACCATCTGTTTCTAACTGTGTCTGAAGCAAATCTGTTTCTAACTGTGTCTAAAGCAGATCTGTTTCTAACTGTGTCTAAAGCAGATCTGTTTTTAGCTGTGTCTAAAGCAGATCTGTTTCTAGCTGTGTCTAAAGCAGATCTGTTTCTAGCTGTGTCTAAAGCACATCTGTTTCTAGCTGTGTCTAAAGCAGATCTGTTTCTGTGTCTGTGTCTAAAGCAGATCTGTTTCTAGCTGTGTCTAAAGCAGATCTGTTTCTAGCTGTGTCTAAAGCAGATCTGTTTCTAGCTGTGTCTGAAGTACATCTGTTTCTAGCTGTGTCTAAAGCAGATCTGTTTCTAACTGTGTCTGAAGCAGATCTGTTTCTAACTGTGTCTAAAGCAGATCTGTTTCTAACTGTGTCTAAAGCAGATCTGTTTCTAACTGTGTCTAAAGCAGATCTGTTTTTAGCTGTGTCTAAAGCAGATCTGTTTCTAACTGTGTCTGAAGCAGATCTGTTTCTAACTGTGTCTAAAGCAGATCTGTTTCTAACTGTGTCTAAAGCAGATCTGTTTCTAACTGTGTCTAAAGCAGATCTGTTTTTAGCTGTGTCTAAAGCAGATCTGTTTCTAGCTGTGTCTAAAGCAGATCTGTTTCTAGCTGTGTCTGAAGCAGATCTGTTTCTAACTGTGTCTAAAGCAGATCTGTTTCTAACTGTGTCTAAAGCAGATCTGTTTCTAACTGTGTCTAAAGCAGATCTGTTTCTGTGTCTGTGTCTAAAGCAGATCTGTTTCTGTGTCTGTGTCTAAAGCACATCTGTTTTGTATCTGTGTCTAAAGCACATCTGTTTCTGTGTCTGTGTCTAAAGCACATCTGTTTCTGTGTCTGAAGCAAAGAATAATGTCTGTCTGTCTCCAGGTTCTCCACAGCCACGACTACAAGCGCCTGACGGGTTTGAAGACAAAAGGATCCTGGTCATCGGGATAGGCAACTCCGGGGGCGATGTGGCCGTGGAACTCAGCAGGAAAGCTTCTCAGGTGAGACGTCCTTGCCAGGGCAGTGTTCTAGGGCTTGTGCTTGCCTTCATCTATCTGTTGCATGTTGTTATTTCTTGTAGCTCTCCGTATGCTCACAGTGCGAACAAGAGAGACGAAAACATACTGTAGCTGAATAAGAAAAATGTTTCAATCCTGACAAGCAAGTAGAACAAGTCAGCTACTCAATATCAAAAACACACACGCAGACACACACAGACACACACACACGCACGCACACTCACTCATTCACACAATACAAATAAACGTTTCGGCTAGATAGCATTCATCAGCACATCTAAATATGATTAAATGTTGCAGGTATTAAAAATATAAAGGATTCCCATTCAAACTAGCACACAGTTCTATATCCTTATTTGTATATTGACTCTTAATAAAGGATAATGTGGTCAGCGTCACACAGCTCACCTTTACATCCCAGCACATTTCCCAGTATCAGTTTAAGGCTGTATCGACCAGCTTAGTCTTCTTCTTCTGCACTCTTTATCACCACTTCTACCCCCCCCCCCCCCCATTTGAAGTAAAGGTCCTTCAGCCCACTCACACCAAGTGATCCAATCCTGACCAATCGCATGCAGCTCTCGCCTTGTTTTCCCCATCTTTTTAACTTCACTCTCAAGTACTTTTTCCATGTTTACCTTTATTTCTATACACTTGTGGGTTCCGGTGTAAAGCTCTTTTAGTGATATTCTTCTCACGTTACCAACGTGTCTTTACCCACAGGTATTTCTGAGCACGAGAAGGGGCACCTGGATTCTTAACCGAGTCTCGTACGAGGGCTACCCCTCAGACATGCTGAACTCGTCCCGTGTGTGGGAGAGTGTGTTCGACATCGTGCCTTCCTTGGGGGACAAGCTCTTACAGCGGAGGTTGAATAAACGGATCAACCACAATCTATACAGGTTTGTGACCGTTAGACTCATATTTTATTGGTTTGTGACTAGTTTCTTCTTCTTATAGTTCATGCCGTGTGGCGTCGTTGGTGATCATTGTTTATCCACAACCTTCTGTCTCGTGTTCTTTCACTCAGCTCTGAAACAGTTGATCTTGCATGCCATTATATCAAACCGTCCACCATCTGTTCTCTCGATCTCCCTCTGCCTCTTCTTCAATCTAACTTTCCTACCCTCACGATGTACTCCAGGTTTCTCCTTCTCATCACATGACCAAAGAATGTTGATTGTCCCTTTCTGATGTGGGTAGTTTCTTTCAAGACGTCTTCGTGACTCATTTGATGTGTCCAGGGTATTCTCATAATTCGTCTATAAAACCACATCTTCATAACTTTCAAATAAGCTTTCACTAATTAACTAACAGTCCCATGATTAACATCCGTATATCAATATAGAATTTCTCGTCTCAATTGACAAAGAAAGATTGCTTAAAATATTCTTCATTTTGTAAAATACTGCCTTTGTTTGATGACTGGTTTATGTTAAGCTAATGTTAATTGATCTTTTCACAAGCGACTGGCCAAGTTGTTGGAGTTGAGCTCTTATGCTCAAGAATTGTGTTTCGATCTAGGATAGGGGATGCTTTTTTTCCTTGGGAGCCACACATACACACACACACAGTAACACACAGACAAATCCTAAACTGCACAGTTCTTGGCGACTACACTAGCCATGAGGCCTTAACTCCTCAGGCACATGACCCCCACTTCATACCTTTCACTCTCCCCCATCCTTGACCGCGATACAAGTGACAACTATTGGTAGTGCAGACAGGTCGGTTGTTGTTTGTTAAAGTAATGCTGCTTGATTAACTATCTAAAAAAAACATTACTGAAAAAATACAGTTGATTAACTAAAAAAATTTTTTATAAGGATTATCATTTGTTTGTGAAACTTATGTAAACTCTTGTTGTGATGTTTACTATTTTAACCATTACGGATATTATCATTATTACGCATTTCAAACAAGTCTTGGGACTCTTTAGTCGTCATTCTAGAAAATATACACGTGGACAGGAGGACACGGTTATCTTCTAACCCCTCTAAAGGCTTTCTTTGTGTCGGCACCCCTGCATGGAAAGTAATAGACGAGGTCGTAAATCATAGAAGTGATAGGTAGGAGACTATTGAAAGGGTTGTGCTTTATATGTGGATGCAGAAAAAGCAAAAGATGAAGAAGTAACCACAGACATGTCGAGATTTGTGACTGTAAATATTGTGCATTGTCTCACTTTAAGCAACAGTAACGATAACCCATACTTTTACCATTTTTCCAGGCTTCGGCCAGATTATGGCCCTTCTAGCCAACACCCGCTGGTCAATGACGATATGCCCAACAGGATCATCTGTGGGTCCATCAAGATCAAGACAGACATCAAACGGTTCACCAGCACGGGGGTGGAGTTTGTGGACGGGACATTTGAGGACAACATTGATCTGGTCGTCCTAGCCACTGGTTACTCCTTCGGGTTCCCTTTCATTGATAAAGAGGTGGGTATAGTTGACCCACAACTATGGGTCACAATCTATCACTGTCTTAACTTTAAAAGTCTCTCTGTGTTCCGGATATCAGGCTGAAGACTGTTGACGCAAGTGGGAAGACAACATACAAAGACTAATTGTTTTTATGTATCCAGTTTCGTCCTTTTTAGGACGAAATTTTTTGTTATTTGAAGCCCCACCCTGGCTTTTGCCAGGGGCCGCAATATAGGCAGGCCATAAATATGGCCAAATGTCTGAACGCGGTTTCTGGGACCTCTCCACGGCGATCCTCATCCATATGGTGACACTTTGTGTCATCGGGTGTTTATCGCTTGTGTGATGTCCTGGTGGGGTAGAAAGTCAGTCAGTCAGTCACAAAGACTAACGAACAGCAAACATTATATCAAGGTAGACAAATCTGTGAATTGCGCCTTCTGCACGACCAGATCACTTGTTACATACCCTGCCATATTTGTCGTCACTCGATGACTTCCCTCAGTGCAGACAATAACTAGAATAATCTTCACTGTTTATGAGCTTTATTTATTGTCTTGTCTACTTACAGTCTGGTTGTATTTAGTGCTCCATTCAACTTTTGTCTAATATTTGTGGGCGTCTTTTTAGTTTCTCTGTTCTGAGCTTTCTATCATTTTTGTTCCAGTTTGTGAAGCATTTTATGACTGGACAGTAAGATGGCGTTCATGGAAAAGTCGTCCACAAATTCACTCAAGCGTATCGACTGTACCTTCTAGGCGCGCCGACACACATAAAATCTTGGGTGAGGCGGGCAGGTAGGTATGCTCAACCCCCTTACACATTTTCTGGACTGGGGAAAGTGAAGCCCTGTTGAAGTTCTT